AGACAATAAACAATTTATGCTTGTTTTATTTATGCTTGCACAATTTGTCAAAAGAAAACTCCGCGAAACCGAAGTATTATATATTAATATATTATGTTATTTCTCTTTTGTTGATCTTGTCTTTCTTTATTCATGCCTTCATTTATTTTGTATTATAGTGTATGGGGTGGTCCTGGTATTTAGCCAATGACTATCAGTTTTATTGCATTGCGCCATTGTTTTTGTATGCCATGTACAGGTAAGGAATGCATGAATAGCACTCATAACCATTAAACCAGTGGTGGCGGAGCCGGGGGGCACTCCCCCCCCCCGAAATATTTTTGGGGGGCCTGGCCACCCTACATAACTGCTCGAAATCATTTCAATAATTCATTTTTTTCGTTGTAAAATGCATTTGCAAAAGTTCATGTGACGTCATCACTATAAGTCTATGATAGTCCCCCCCCCCCAAAAAAAAGAAAATTTTGGCTCCGCCGCCGCCCCTGGAAACATAACTTTGCATCACGCGATATGAAAAAAATAATAGCTCAACCCCAATTATGTTTACTGCTTCTTTATATCGCCCAGTCACGTCCCTTAGTTTGCGAGGAAACGAGAGMCTGCTGATGACCTTGCTGTAATAGATAGGACTAGCTGAGGACTAGCGGACTTATAATATAGTATCTCAAATTAAAATGAGGTTGCATTATTTTAATTTTAGAATTAGAAACAATCTTTTGCGACGTCCTTGAGCGCTGAACTCTTATTGGTAACACCAAGTCACCTGTGATTATATGACTCTTTCAGGTTCAAGCTCCCAGGAATGGCCCTAACAGTTGGTAGTTTCCTGGTGGCGAGTTTCATAGCTACTGGGGCCATTGAAGSCTATTATCATTCCTCTTTGTAAGTATATTACAAGGSTCAATCATGATGTTATATCCCCATAGTTTGACTAATAAAACTTTCGTGCCTTTGTAYCGACGGTTGGTGGAGACAGAAAAGCCTTTCAACTTTTATAATTGCCGCGCAACATCGACCATTGCGATGTTTGTCGTTTTGAGCCCAGCTCAACCAACAAACACATTGTTGGGCAAACCTGTTTTGCAATGTAGGTCTTAATTGAACTTTCAACCTATAGATTCAATCTTTGTGTGTTCGCTTTCGGTATTAGTCCAGAACTGGATCTCAATAAAAATTAAATATATACTTAAGACGCGGTTTCTTCAATAACGATAAGAGTTTATTATCAAAACAATGGGATGAATCACTCACCTAGAAGATTCTTTTTTAATAATTGCGGAGAATAATTCAATTGCAAYTGAATTTAGTGAGAAAAGAATAGACCAAGAAACGGAGACAGMCAATGTTCAAAACMGCGGGAAGATTTTAGCTAATTTTAGACCTTAGACGCGTTTTCACAACAAAGCGATCTAGATACTTTTTTTTCCAAGGACCCAACAAAAATTATTCAAATGAAAGCAATAATTCAAAGTAAATATTTCCAAAACTCCCCTCCTCCCACCCCTCCCACCCATTTATTGTCGTTTGCTCCTATAACTCATGAATTATGAAAAATATAGACAATACGATTTTATTTGATACTGGTTTCYTTAATTTTATAAGGCCCTTCTGATCACGTTTCAGCTCATTGACTAATGTCAAAAGGCAATCGAAATTTTAWTTATAACATGTTAATCTTTCTCGATTCATCTGATATTATATATACGCTTTGGTAAAGAAAAAAATACGTCCTTACCCGCTTATAAGAACCCATTTTTTCAATTTTGTTTATGTAAATGGTGCTTAGTGGAATTTGAGGCTACTCAGGCTCTTAAATATAGGTTCTTAATTATTTATCCCTTATAATGTAATGAAAATTTGCAAGGTTAGTTTTCAAACATTATTTATACTAAATTTAGAAGTGTATGCATGTTCAAGTTCATGACTACAGTTTGAGATATATTTTTTTCATGAAGAATTCTTTAGGTTAATTTCTATAAGAACCTGTTTCCGACAATTTTGGTATTTTTAGGCTAACAGGTTCGTAAGTTGCAGGTTCTTATAAGCGGTTATCTCACTGTAATTCATGTTAATTTGTGTTGGAGTTTTATAAATCGTTTACAACATTCACGTCTGTGTTGTTTAAAACTATACAATGTACCTGTTACTGATTATAGATCGACCTACATCTACGTTAAGCCTTACTGTCGTATATCGCCTTACCTCGTTGGCATTGTACTTGGTTATGTATTCGTTGCTGACAGAACGCATTCATTTCTGCTAAAACTTCGACCTGTAAGTTGAACGTCCCTCGTTGTATTCCCTGTAGAAAGCTGGGAGTAGCAGGCACTGGTGAAAAACGCACTGCGCATGTCCACAGCTTTCCTGCTGAAATCTGCCTAATTTCCTTTGTAAAGCGATTTTTGTGAAATTTATAAGCTCGTTCACCGATATATAAGATTCATATTTCCATCAATCTTTGCTCATGATAGGTCTTTTTAGTATGTAGTTTCTATTTTTATCTTGTCATTTCTATTTTGAGAAAATGGAGTTTTTCGTAGTGTTTTCTGTGTTGTCGCTGTAAATCGCCAGGCGCTCTGTTTACAGATTTCAAGACGCACGCGCTCACTGGCGGGAAAGCTGTGGACATGTGCAGTGCGTTTTTCACCAGTGTTGGAGTAGCATAGATAAACCTATTTCTTTATTTGATCTTGATNCGATTTTTTTCAGCGGCCATATCAAAGAATTGTATATCATTCGTGCGGGTTCCCTGTGCTTTTTTGTTTTGGGCTTCCTTTAGCGAATCCATGCCATATATGGAAACAAACAAAATGGTGGATTGTTTAGAAGTGTTTTCGCTATAATATCTGCAAGTTTCAGACGATTTCAAGCTTTAAAAGTCGAGAAAATCGACAAAAACCATTCCTATCGAACTTCCAAATAAGGTAAGATTACCATATATGGCTGCTAAACGAAGAACAACTTTTGTGGGGCAATATGTATCTTTCAAAGTTAACAGGAAAGTGAGTGAGTGACACATCGTCCCCATCCAATAACGCAATCTCCGAGTTAAAAATCATGTCGCATCTTACTAATAATCACATGACGACATAGAAGAACTATGACCGACGTATACCTCTTACCCGGGCTGTTTATAAATGATGTGCTTAACGGCAATTGTAAATGAAAACTTAAGTTTACGATTTGATTGACTAGTTTTTACTTCCRATTCCAGATCCCGCGAATGATATTCCTGGTAATTGGCTGGTCCACTGCCTTTACCTGTGCTTTCTCGACATTATATGGCTTGTACAAAACCGTTAGAGCTGACAATCCAATACCATTGACAGATACCGAGAAAGTTGTGTATGTGACATTTTCCAGATTTGCTTGGGGCCTCTCCCTTGCATGGGTTATTTACGTGTGTCATGCTGGATTTGGGGGTGAGTTCTAGTGGGATTGTTGAAATATTTGCTAGGAATTACACCTTTCAGTTTAGGTTGATGTTCTATATAAGCTTGAAGAATAGAGTGTATTGTTGAAACCCGCTATAGTTCGCTTTGAGCAGACTCCCGGTTCGAGTTTCTTCCAAACGAGGTTGGCCAAGCGGCGTATTCCTAATTTTTTGCTGTCTTGAAGTCTTTTTATTGACTGCATGCACAGGGATTGTGAATTCAAATATTGCTTATGTCTCAGTGGAAGATTATAGTGTCTTTTTTTCTATTATCCATGTTACGCCTTAGATATATCTGCTATCTAGCATCTACGCTATTTAGCGCGCGGTCTATATAGATTCATCTGGACATCTCATGACATCTCGAGCCCAGAGTCTTCACGGCTAATGTCAGCGGTATGCTGACGCCGGAAAGACTCTCTCACGCATTGACTTCCGCTGGATGGCAAAAGTGTGGGCTACGAGATTGTATACCGACCACCTGATCGACTAAGCCGGGTTATTAAAAGTTTATGAGCAGGCGCCTTTCATTAGATAAAATGCAATTCAAAAATAGCATTGAAAATAAAATTTTTAGACGGCCTTTATAACCTTCAGCGCTTACTGTTTCTTGGTTGTCTGAAATTTCGTCTGGGTAATGAAATTCGTCGTTTCCCATAATTCATTTTGCCGCCAGAAATAGATCAAATTAAATTTGTGCTCTTTGATTTTTTTACATGCAAAGTTATGTTGTGATCTGGACCAAAAATTTCGCMAAAACGACATCAACCAATCAGATCAGTCTATTTACTCGCGTTCAGGCTCCAATATACACGTTCATATAATAAAGGAAATATTGATTCTAAACTGAATGAGTTTCATTTCATCTCTAGGTCTGGTGGACAATATTTTATCAGCTCGTTTCTGGATTCCTTTGAGTCGATTGACATACGGTGTTTACCTGGTCCATCCTATGGTCCTTGTAGCGTTTTATGGCACCCTGCAGAGTACTGTAGCATACACTGATTTCTTGATGGTAAGCTGCTGCTTGTCGAATTTTGATAATTGGCCGGATTTCAAACCGTGGGGGATTGGACAAAATCCCCTAATTGGATAATCATGACATAAGACTTACATAGAAAGAAAGCCCTTGTTGAGAAATGTAAATTTCCAACTGAATTTGATGTAAATCAGTCCAATAGTGAGCGAGTTAAAGCCTTTCAAATATTCTAATCTTTCCAACGAAATGTATGGAAAGCCGTGAATGTGTCCGGAAAATGGTCAAAATCCGGACACATTTCTTTGTAAATTTTAGAATATTTCAACATGTCGGCCATTGTAATTTTGTCCTAGTCCCCTCCCATCCTTGAAAATAAGGAATCCCACAAAAATAACACAGATAGCCCGCGCGAATGTCAGGCAAATGTTTGATTATTTTTATTTTTTTCTTTCAGGTCATCTTCTTCCTCGGTTGTTTAATGGTGTCGTATGGCGTGTCGTTCATTCTCGCGATAGCGATTGAATTTCCCGCCATGCAACTCGAGAAATTATTTCACTGACTTTCGACTAGTGAGCTAAAGTTGTCGCGTCATCATTTTGAACAGCTTTTAATGCTTTTGTTTTCAGTGAGAAAATTGAAATCAAATGGAAATTATTTCATAACTTTTATAGGACTGTTTTCAATAGCAATTTTGTCATGCGGTAAGATGTGCGATTTTTATTGCGATTCTATCCCTGCAAATTCAAGGCGATTTCATTGCGATATCGCAGTCAATTCGAAGTTGGTCGAATTTTTTGTGCAAATCGCTACGATTTTCACTTGAAATTAAATTTGTATGTAAAATCAGCGTGAATATTGCTGACTGTTTGCACGTGCCATGAAATCACCGCAAAAATCACAGCTTATTTTGTGCGACAAACTTGCTAGTGAAAACAGGCTTTATATCCAACATGTTGCTTGTGACTAAAGACCATATATTGTATTGAGAAGTAAATTGGCAGATATGCTTTGTACATCTTGTCGCATTTCTATTTCATTCTTTTTTAGTTATTTTCAGTCTTTTCGATAAACATGAGCACGTCATTATGTCCGATTAGCTGTTTTACTGCTTTTTAATCTGGGTCTTGACGCTGACTGCTATGACTGCTGTTACAGTTTTGTTTTTTTTCCTGGAAGATCATAGATCAACTATTGCTTGAGTGAAAGGATGAATGCGCAAGCTTTTATGACGTCTTTTTTGTTATCGGCGCGCGCTCTAAGCAAAACGCGGATTACCTGTGGTGCTACGTCACGGTCCCTTGCCTCGCGGGTCTACACACTAGTCTGTGACAAGGTATAAAACGTACACCGGTCACGTGACAAATCTTATTTTGCTCCTATTTCCCCAAAGATAACAGTAAACGACAATTTTATCTACAATAATGACGTGTGCTATGATTTTCTAACTACTTTATTAGTTTTGAGTCTTTGGTTGATGAGAAGAAAATGATAATAGGGAGCTTTAGATTTGAGAACGAAGACGAGGACGAGGACGAAGTTTCGAAAATTCGACGTTACAGATTACGACAGCTCATGAAATGTCACGCAACTTCGTTGTCTCCTTGCTGAGGACGACGAAGTTTTTACCCAACTTCGTTCTGTCCAAAACGAAGTTTTTAACAGCTTTTCTTATACTTATTTTGCACTGAAAATCTGAAGAAAATGCAAGATCATCGACTTTGGACATCCCTTGTTTTACTTTGAGCAATAAATGTGCGGAAATATCCTTAATTTGTGCTAAGATTGGCATAAACTAAACCATGTCAAATTAGTTTTTCAGAGTGAATTAGGAATTTCTTTTGAATATGCGCGAGCAAGCTGACGACATCAAAGTTGTGCGCGCTCACCAACTTCGTCCTCGTCTTCGTTCTCGAATCTAAACATAGGCTACCCAACTATTGCTTGAGAGAAAGAAAAGAATGAATGCGCACGCTTTTATATTATGTTATCGAATCGGCGTGCGCTGTGGGTTACCTGTGGTATTACGTCACTATCGCGCGCCGCGGGANCACCAGAGGACAATGACGTATTGATGATAGTAGTCAAGGTCGGAGATATAACATCAATGACTTGCTTTATAAGAAACGTTGGTAGAGGATCAAGCCTGCAAGTTTTCGGTTTGGACTTAAGCACTAGATCACGTACATATTCCTCCGACACTTCAGAAAAGTCAGAAAAAGATGTAACACATCCAGGCTGGTGTAAAGAGACCGACAGTTCTTTCTCGGCTAGAGATGAAGAGCTCAGACAGTCTTTAAGATCACTGATCTTATTAGCAAAGTAATCAACAAAACTATCAGCCAACGTCTGGGCAGTCTCATGGGACGGTAGAGGTGGAGCCACTTTAACCTTAAAAAGACTGTCTATCAGCTGAAACAATTGACCCTGTTGCGAGTYTGAAATCTGGGCACGGTAGAACTCTTGCTTGGCAGACTTGATGGCTTCATTATAGGTGTTACATGCATCATTATAAAGCTGTCGGTGAACTTCCAGACCAGTAGAAAGCAACTGACGTTCAGCCTTACGTCTAAGTCTCTTAAGCAGCCAGAGATCCTCTGAGTACCAGGGAGCATATGAACGCAGTGTAATGTTACTTATGCGCTCCGGTGCATGTTTATCCAACAGATCATGCATGACAAGATTGTACTGTGACATTAGAAAGTCCACGTCTTCACTTTCACTAGAATTGCAAAGGGGACTGTCCATCAGGTCACGCTTGAATGACTCAAGATCAATACGACGGGTCTGGCGTCTACGGACTTCAATAGTAGATGGTCTAGGTTTATCCATGTCAAGGGGAGAAATCACAGCAAAGTGGTCAGATGGCAAGCCCTGCACAATATCAATTGGACCAGATACAATGGTGTCACCCTCTCGATGAATAATTAAATCTAAGGTGTGGCCGCGTTTGTGGGTACTCCCAGAGACACGTTGAGTGAGACCAGACGAGCTTAAAAGATCGATGAACTTACGAGTGTCGGAATCACACAAGTCATCCATATGAATATTGAAATCACCAATAAAAATTAGATGCCCAGATACTGTAGACARATGTTCCAACAGAGAGGAGAAATCACGCAGAAACATTGTCATTGTCAGTTTGTTTTTCTTGGATGGAGGAGGCCGATAGACAKGAATCAAACGGATGGATGTAGTGTTGCTATGGTTACAAGAGATATTTAAGTCCATGTATTCCAACGCCTGAAAARCAATGATTTCATTCTGCTTTACAATTAGGCTTTTGCGTAGAAGAACACATAAGACTACATAGAAAGAAAGCCCTTGTTGAGAAATGTAAAATTCCAAAATTTGATGTAAATCAGTCCAATAGTGAGCGAGTTACAGCCTTTCAAATATTCTAATATTTCCAACGAAATGTATGGAAAGCCGTGAATGTGTCCGGAAAATGGTCAAAATCCGGACACATTTCTTTGTAAATTTTAGAATATATTTGAAATTGCCTTTCAACATGTCGGCCATTGTAATTTTGTCCTAGTCCCCTCCCATCCTTGAAAATAAGGAATCCCACAAAAAACACAGGTAGCCCGCGCGAATGTCAGGCAAATGTTTGATTATTTTAATTTTTTTCTTTCAGGTCATCTTTTTCCTCGGCTGTTTAATGGTGTCGTATGGCGTGTCGTTCATTCTCGCGATAGCGATTGAATTTCCCTCCATGCAACTCGAGAAATTATTTCACTGACTTCCGTAGTGAGCTAAAGTTGTCGCCTCATAATTTTGAACAGCTTTTAATGTTTTTGTTTTCAGTGAGAAAATTTAATTCAAAGGGAAATTATTTCATAGCTTTTATAGGACTGATTTCAATAGCAATTTTGTCATATGATAAAATGTGCGATTTTTATTGCGATTTTATCCCTAAATCGCACATGTCTGCAAATTCAAGACGATTTCACTGCGATCGGTCGTAGGTCTATCGCAGTCAATTCGAACTTGGTCGAAATTTGTGTTCAAATCGCTACGATTTTCACTTGAAATTAAATTTGTATGTAAAATCAGCGTGAATGTGCAGACTGTTTGCAAAAATCACAGCTTATGTTGCGCGACAAACTTGCTAGTGAAAACAGGCTTTATATCCCACATGTTGCTTGTGACTTAAGACCATATATTGTATTGAGCAGTAAATTGGCAGATATGATTTGTACATCTTGTCGCATTTCTATTTCATTCTTTTTTAAGGCCGTGTCACACTGGCGTTTTTTTCGTGCAACTTGTGTCGCGCAAAAAAATGTTGAAGTTGCACGATGCCATGTCACACTAGCAAAATTCCGTTGCAACTTAGCTCGCGCAAAAAAATGTTCAAGTTGCACAAGTAAATTGAAAATGTACGATCACCTCACTTTCTGTCTCGTTTTCTTCTTCAAAATTATCGCTTTCGCCAAAGATGGCGTCGGGCATCTTTGTTGATTATTACAACAAGTGACAGCAGGACAGATTCTCGCTTTATTATGGGTTTGTGTGCCTAATTGAAAAATTTGGAAGTTGCAAGAGACCATGTCACACACGCGTTTTTCCGAAAAATGTTGAAAAAAGTAGAAGCCAGTTCTACTTTTCTCTCAACAAAAAAATGAAATGTTCAAGTTGCATGAGGGGGTGTCACACGTAAAAAAACACTCGTGCAACTTCAACATTTTTTTGCGCGACACAAGTTGCACGAAAAAAACGCCAGTGTGACACGGCCTTTAGTTATTTTCAGTCTTTTCTATAAGGCTTCGGAAGACTTTGAGAGCTGCTGCAAAGTACGAAACTGAAACGAAAGTACTTTTATAGCTGTCGACGAAGGGTAGGCTTTGGTCAACAACGTGTTACGGATTACTTGCGTGCTGGGATGTCGCCATTTTAAATACAACACGTTTGTAAAGAGAGTAAAAAATTATAGTCGTAAGCGTCTAGCTTATTTTTGCGGTAGAACCAATTCCTAGAAAAGTGTATTGTCCTACTATACTTTCCATTCTTTCTTGTAAGTAACCGTTTCAGATGGTGATCTTTTGCCGCGTCTAATCTAATTGCTTACATGCAGTTCTCGATAAGTTTGCAGTCTACATCGATTGATATTTACAGATTATAGTTAGTTTGTCCAACTGAACAAAATCTACTAATGTCAATACATTCAAAATGTACAAAATGCTCATAAACTCAACTCCAGCAATTAGATTAGATTCGACAAAAGATCGACGTCTGAAACGGGCTTAAGCGCGAAGTATAAAATAAGTGTTGAGGGCCGTACACTACTGTCAAAAGTCAAATAAGTTTTGACAAGCTTTCGCCGAACGCCGGCATCATCAGGTCACGAAAATCTAAAACAATTACAGTAAAAAAATACGGAGCCGAGTAAAAGGTTTTAAACACGATAAGCTTATGATGTAATATTCTGTCTATCATATGATTATTTATGAATGTATAACATATTTTTTTATGAATATATTTTTTACTTCAATTAATGTACTGTTCAAAATTCTAATTGTTTATTCACACGCTACGATATTATTTTTGACGGCTTTCTGCAACGACGTCGAAACGATAGAAATATCGAGCCAGGAAAAATATCCTTTTTTTCCAAAATAGCCCGACTTCACGCTCTAAGAGCGTATAGTTCAAAATATGCAAAATTCCGAGACTTAGACAAATTTGACGTAAAATGTCATGTAATAAACACCCACCGTTGATACTTACAATTTTTAATGCAATGTTAAAAAAAGAACCTACTTAAAGTATACTTATCGAAGTATTTTGTACATGGACCAACTTACAAGTCAGAAGAATCTCCAAAAAGTTATTTTCAGGCGAATCTTTTTAAATAAATCCTTTGCTTTGACTGATAAAATCAAACGCGGTAGACTAAATGTCGCTAAGTGATATCCAATACGTTTTTAAGTCAAATTGACCTCCCAGGTCAAGAAAATAAATACTTTACAAAATAAAAGATGCCTATAAAATAATCAAAGTTGCCTTTTTGTTATTGATAAACAAAGTTTCTTCTTGTTCTAATGAGACCTCTGCCCAGACAAGACACATCTACAGCTAGAGAGGTTGTTGATTCAGTTTCGTAAGCATACTACTCGAAGCTACATGTGATCTGCACATGCGCGTGCTTTTGATGATACGAAATGCATTCCGATGAGATCAGAGATACCACATTTGAATTTAAAAGTACTTCCGGTTTCAACGTCTCGAATACTCCAATTTCGAGCTCTGGTTTGCTCTGTGTTAGCCTCAAAACCAAGTAAAATATTCTCTTGTTTTATTACAATAGCCCAAGAAAATGCATGGAATTTGTGAAGAAAAACAATAAAATTGATTTGAAATCTCACACTTTTATTCTCACAAT